TCTGTGTTTCTACCTGGTCTCCAGAACTGCTTACAATGACTGCATAATAAATACTCTATTGTGTAAATGGACTACAGTTTGTTCAGAATATCCTTCATGTGTCCAACATTTAGACGGTTTCCATTTCTTTGTCTCTTTCTATAATGAAAATGATGCCACAATGGACACCTTTGTGCACAATTGTGTTTTCCCCTTAAGGGTAAATTCCTAGGAGATGAGCTACTAGGAATTTCTTTCAATCAAAGAAAGCTTGATGATTCTTGTTATATATAAGATTTCTAAAACTTATCAAATAATGACTCGGTGCTCCAGGTTCCTGGGAGCAACCTCACCAGCATTGAGTGTCATCATTAAAATGTGTGTGTGTTTTTTTTGTGATCATTAAAATGGCATTCTAAACCTAAATATATTTTCTAAAGAAGTGCCTCCAAATACTAAATGATTATACTCAATTCAGCTTTGCAAAATTCATTAAAATTTAAACCTATGACTACAAGACGATGCTTGTCAACATGGAGAGGTATTTGCTAAATATTCCACACTGAAAAGGGAGGCTGCCTATATATTGTTAGGATGAACTACCCTTAATCTCTTCTGCTCAGACAAGTTTCTGAAATAGACAGTGTTATAAGCCTTTTCCCATAGCTTGGGGCAGACGGCTGGCGTCTGCAAGATAAGAACTCCTCTCCACCTGACTGACCTGTGCACTCTCCTCCCTTGCCTCCCTGGACCGATTCCTGCCCTTCCCTCCCCTCCATTCCTTCTGCTTGACCATCTGGCGCACCCACACCCTGACCCTATGTTGCATACTTCTACCCTACATAAGAGAACCTAACCATCCCCTTGGGGCTGACATCCACACACAATGGTTTATTGTGAGAAAATGCAATAATACTCTCACAACGTCCCTTACTTGGCTCCTGCCCCTGCAGAACTAATTTTGGTGCCCAAACCACGGGCCTGTGGGAACCCCCACACCTGACTGCAGGCTTCTCTGGACCACACGGTCCACTCAAATTTCTGACAAGCATCACTTCCCTTGACCCTCTGATTTGCCAGCTTTTGCCTCACCAAAGTCCTCGCATGCGAGGCAGGAGGGTCCACTCTGCCAGGGCCAGATCCCTGCGCCCTAACATAGCAATCTTCCACTTCTCTCTGGTTGGGACACCTTCCCTTCAGACTTCTCACCTCCGGGATAAACTTCTTAGTCACCTATCCCCTTCTCCACCACACCAACCCATTATGGGGAACCAGCACCCCTTTGGGTTGCCTCTTATGGGATCTTAACCTCAAAGCCAGTATCAGCCCCAAAGGGCTCATTTTCTACTGCAACACGGCTTGGCCCCAACATGATAATGAGGTCTCTTCGTCTGGCTCCTGTGGGCACGGACCTAACATATATATTTCTTTGGACCTGGCTGGACAGGAATGTGGGGAGGAGGCTCCTCTCCTTCTGCCTCCAGGAATCGTGAGGAAAGAGACAATGGTCATGGGAGGAAGCCATCACACCTGTGGTTCCCTATCTCTCCCATCCAGGCTTTGACCGGAGTTGCTGTGTGCGGAGGACTCTGATAAATTGGGGGGAACCCTGTGTCTCCCTGCAACTCACCTCTTTGCCCACATGGGATAGCAGTTAAGTAGGAGGTCAGGCGGCAAAAAAAATCTAGTCTGCCCTCTTGAGAGTTCCTGGTTTGTATGGGGCCTGGATGCCTGTCCATTCTGAAGAGGCACAGGTCCTGAGCCAGGACCCTGATGGGATGTGGCATTGACAGAGGGGTCTCAGTTCCAGCCAGAGCTAAGGGAACACTTTCACCTGGAGGAGGTCACAGTGTCCAAGGAAGACCAAGAATCCATGGATCATGATGCCATTAGCTATAAACCATTGCAGCACATGCCAGCTAAAGCAGTATCATCTCATTTTTGGGGGGTAAAGTGTATACCCATGTGTACACATCGCAGGGAGAAATGTTAATATCAGTGCTAAACTCAGCATGATGAGATTTGGGGTGCTTTTCAACTTTCATTTTTTGCTTTCCTTTATTGTTGATGTTTGTTTCTTTACTATTGTTGTCTTATTTTTCTGAAATGTAAAAAGCCATTTTTAAAAGCCTAATTCAAACCTCCTATTTCAGATTTAAGTATTCATTTTCACCAAAACTGTGTAGACAGATGAAAAGCGCATCTAACTACATGAAGCCAGTTTTCATATTTCTGACCACATGTGACTAGTAATTCTGGACTCTTGACTCTATAGAATCTGCTTGTGTGCTCCCCTATGCGTTGCACTCTAGCGCCCCCTAAAGGTTCCCCAATGGTAGCTCACCGATCATGTTGATTTTATGGAAGTGACATGTGATTTAAAGGCACGGTCATCAAGTTGAACAAAACTTCAGAAACATTTTAAAAATTGTCTTGTTTTTACATCAGTCTGGGAGAGAAGGAAAGGAAATACAAAGAATGAATGCTGAATAGAGGCTACTACACCTTTGCTGTCTGGAGCGGGCAGCGCTACTCCTTTGACATTAAAGCAGAGAGGGACGCTCTCTGTGGTTATAAATGCATAACACATAGAAGGGTGTGGGTTTTTTCTCAGCTGCTGTGGATTATGCCATTAGGAATAAGACTGCTGATAAGACCAGATCAATCGGCCATTCCTCCGTGTTCCAGCTGGAAAACCTGCCTGTGTCACTGATGTACTGGGTCAGAGCCATGCAAACAGGTCCACAGAGCCCCATTTTCCTAATTTCATCTGCAATGGCTTCTCGTTGCCTTTCTTTCACTTCTGCTTCTTTCCCATGTTACAGCTGTTCTGAGTTTCACATGCGGCCTCATGTGCACTGTCTCATCTGGTCCTTACCACAACCTCAAGCAGTATCATGATCCTTATTTTGGAGATGAGCTAATGAGGCTCAGAGGTGAGGGCTTGTCCTAGGCCTGCAGCTGGTGAGAGGAAGGGCCAGGACCGGCTGCTGTACCTCCCGCCCACACAGAACCCGGGCAGGGCAGCTCTTTGGGGGCTCAGTGCTCTGTTAGGGAGCAAAGACAAGTCCTGGCCATTGGCTCCAGTTGTTGCTTTTCTAGGACTTGCCTGGAGAAACACCCACGGTCTTAAACAGGCGTCCTCAAACAACGGCCCGCAGGCCACATGCGGCCCGCCGAAAACATTTATCCGGCCCACCGGGTGTTTTTGCCGCCGCTGCCTGTCCTGCTTAGCAGCCGACTCGTCCCGGGCCTGCAGTGCGCATGTATGGAATGTCTGAGGGACAGTGAACTGGCCCCCTGTTTAAAAAGTTTGAGGACCTCTGGTCTTAAACATTCATGTCCTTCCCCATCCTCCGAACGGAGAGGATTGAGTTGGCAGAATGTCCTCCGAGGCAGTAGTGCAGGGATTGACTGTCTTTCCTAGGACCCCCTCCTCGTCTGGTTTTCCTCTTTCTCCCGTGAAGTCTGTAATTATAAGAAAAGCAGGCACTGACCCTGGGGATCCTGATCTTAAAAATATCAAATCTGATAAGGAATCCATCCCATTGGCCTACATGACAGGCTTGTCTCAGTATAATGAGGAGCAGAAAGGGGGTAAATTAACTTAGGTTAATACTGCTTATAGCTGTAATTGTTATAATAGTAATAAATCTAATAGCTCCATCATCAAAAGTTAAACTTAAAAATCACTGCATTTGACTCTAGTGATGATAAAATTGGTCATAGATACTGAAGATCTAGTCTGAACTTAAAAAGATATGTATATTTTTTAAAATAGATTTTTATTGATTTCAGAAAGGAAGGGAGAGGGAGAGAAAGACACATCAATGATGAGAGTCATTGATTGGCTGCCTCCTGCACACCCCCTGCTGGGAATTGAGCCCAAAACCTGGGCATGTGCCTGGACTGGGAATCTAACTATGACCTCCTGATTCATAGGTCAATGCTCAACCACTGAGCAAACACCGGCTAGGCAAAAAAAATTCTTTTTAATCCTCACTCTAGGACAGCCATGGGCAAACTACGGCCCGCGGGCCAGATCTGGCCCGTTTGAAATGAATAAAACTAAAAAAAAAAAGACCGTACCCTTTTATGTAATGATGTTTACTTTGAATTTATATTAGTTCACACAAACACTCCATCCATGCTTTTGTTCCGGCCCTCCAGTCCAGTTTAAGAACCCATTGTGGCCCTCGAGTCAAAAAGTTTGCCCACCCCTGCTCTAGGACATACTTTCATTGATTTTTAGAGAGAGAGGAAGGGAGAGTGAAACATCCATGTGAGAGAGAAACATCAATTGGTTTCCTCCTGTATGCACCTCAACAGGAGGAAACCTGGGTATGTGCCCTGTCTGGGAATCAAACCCATAACCTGAATGAGACGACATTCCAACCAACTGAGCCACACCAGCCAGGGCTAGCCTGAACTTTTGTATTCACTTGTTAGAGAGTTTGGGGTAAATAACTAAATTTCTTCGAAGTTCAATTTCCCCATTAGCTATGGTGACCAGCACATTATCATGAGGCCAGGGAGAGAGGTCATTTTTTATAATAACAATAATCACTATTATTATTAAAAGCATTTAGTTTTTAAATAGGTAAGATGATTTTGAAAGTCATATATAAACCGTAAAACATAAAATGCAAACTATCTTAAAAGTTACAGTCATAGGAATAACGATGATATTATTGTTATTGTCATTGTTTTCCAGCCTGTGTTTTCCCGTTTTGTACTTCTTTCTAATGCTTTCAGAAATCAACATCCCCAGGCTTCACCGCCACCCACAGCCTTTCTGTCTCCTTTCTCATTGCGGTCATGCTGACTTTCCAATCTCCCATCTGGCATTGCTGACTCCTCCCTCATAGCAGCTCTGATGGACACACTGAAGTACCTCTGCACACACAGGCTGTTTATCACATGTGGTTTTGTTGGGTAAGTAACAAACCAACTGGGATTCAGAAACAGTAGTCGTACCTAATTGTGGGGTTGTTTCTGCTTCTACCGCAGGGACCAGAGACATGGCAACCACAATAGTCTGGCCTGAGAAGAAGGGAGAGACCACCTTCTACGAGTATGGGCTCTCCACACCATGTGTCAAAGCCGACGTCCAAGTGCTGGGGACCCAGCTGCTGCCCCCACTCTACGCCCTGGTGTTCGGGGTTGGGCTGCTGGGCAACGTGATGGTGGTGGTGATCCTCACAAAGTACAGGCGCCTCTGCATTCTGACCAACATCTACCTGCTCAACCTGGCCATCTGTGACTTGCTCTTCCTCTTCACGCTGCCCTTCTGGATCCACTATCTGAAGTGGAAGGAGTGGGTTTTTGGCCACTGTATGTGCAAGTTGCTCTCGGGGCTTTATTGCATCGGCTTGTACGGGGAGATCTTTTTCATCATCCTGCTGACCTTAGACCGGTATCTGGCCATCGTCCATGCCGTGTTTGCCCTGCGGACCCGGACCGTCACTATTGGCATCATAAGCAGTGTCATCACGTGGGCCCTGGCGGGGCTGGTGGCCCTCCCTGAATTTATCTTCTATAAGGCCCAGGAGCAGTCCGGAATGCTGTTCTGTAGTTCCCTGTACCCCGAGGACGAGGAGGACGCCTGGAAGCATTTTTATGCCTTGAGGATGAACCTCTTGAGCCTGGCTCTGCCCCTGCTCATTATGGTGGTCTGCTACTCCGGAATCATCAAGACGCTGATGAGATGCCCCAGCAGGAAAAAGCACAAGGCCATCCGGCTCATTTTCATCATCATGGTGGTCTTTTTCATTTTCTGGGCCCCCTACAACCTGGTGGTCCTTCTCTCCGCTTTTCAAAAGATCTTCTTTGACATCAGCTGCATGCAGAGCAAACAGCTGGACGTGGCCTTGCAGGTGACGGAGGTGATCTCCTACACGCACTGCTGCGTCAACCCCATCATCTACGCCTTCGTCGGGGAGAGGTTCCGGAAGCACCTGCGCCACTTCTTCCACAGGCAGGTGGTGGTGCGCCTGGGCAAATGCCACCTCTTCCTTCCCGGTGAGAAACTGGAAAGAACCAGCTCTGTGTCCCCGTCAACAGGGGAGCAGGAACTCTCTGCTGTATTTTAGGTTGGATACAGGAAACTGCCTCAAGAAGATGCGCTGGGCACGCGAAGCAAATGCATTGGAGCCAATGACATCCGTGCTTTGAACTTCCGGTGCAACACTGAAAAAGCTCTTGAAGACATTAAAAATATAGACACAATGGTTGCGGTATATCCATGCACCACGCAGTCATTACCAGAGGCCAATGGCTGGCCAATTTACTTACTGTCAACCCTGAAAAGCAGAGCTTTGCTTGTGAAGAGTTAACGTACATTTTAACGCACGTGTTAGAGAGTTAGGATATGCAGCTACAAACAGGCAAAGCTTTGTATACTGTAAATCTTCACTTCAGCCAGCTATTGACATGAATGAAACCTATTTCACAAAATACAATAAATCCATTATGTTACTTCTTAAGGTGCCTAGCTCTTTCCTTGCTTGATAAAAAGGCTCTTTTTGTTTTTTTTACAGTTTATGGCTATGTACTCTCAAGTAACATAATGGTATGCCACACCTGCTCTGATTATTCTTAATATTGAATTGATTTTCTATTCACACCAAATGACCACATTTCCCATGAGTGACTCAACAGAAGAGCAATTTGGCATTTTCAGTATAGAGGATAAAGGGCCTGCTCATAGACACTTTTTAGCCCTCAATGTACAGACACTGTACTCCTAAATGCCTGTCTCATTGCTCATTCAACCCCTGTGTGTGAGGTAATATAGACAGGATGCACTACCATAGCTTTCAGCTAAGGGAAGGATGCAAAATATATAACACAATCCTTGCCTCCAGGAAACCTTTCATTGAGTAGGGGTGTAAGACAGAAACAAATAACTCCAGTGCAAAGAGGAACAAACTCAATACTATGCCTGGTCCAGGAAGGGGGAGTCTGAGAGAGGAAGACTTCATGGAAGAAGTGGCTTTTGAGCAGGTTTATGAAGGAGGAACAGGATTGGAAAGGGAGACGATTTAGGGGGCACCTTAAGCCAACGAAATGCCCAATACAAAGATGAAAGGGGAGAGCACGAACATGTGTGGATGGAAGGGTGGGCCTGGTGGGCCGGGAAGGGTCATGAATTTCAGGCAAAGCATCTTGGGCTTTGTTGGGAAGGCAAGGGGAGCTAGTAAAAGGTTCTGAGAAAATTATCAACCTGGTGCCTTAGGAAGATAAAGAAGGTCATACACAGAGGATGGAGAGGAGGCCCCAGAACCATGCAGGAGATAAGTTAGGGGACAAGTGCAAGTGTGGAGGCAACGAAAGACCAACAGCTGGGAAGAGAGGTGGCAGGAGCACCCAGAGAAGAACTTGGCCAAGAGACAGCATGATGTCAGAGCACCAGGAGTGATATATGGTTGATTGAAGAAAATCAAAGGCCAAGATCATATGTAAGAGAGAGACTTTCATTGAGAAGTAGTGTCTGCCCTTAGGTAATTACAGTGCCAGATAGAGGTGCTTGTTTATATGCTCCCCTGGTCCCTGAAGGCTTTTAGGAGCTTTGTGACCCACACAAACTGCCCACAATCAAATCATGACTACAGGGTGCTCCACTGTGCTCCCCAGCCCAGCACATCTGCACCATCCAGTGTGCTCACTACCAGCACGTGCAGCTATGAGCACTTGAAATATGGCTATTGTGACTGAGGAACTGAAATTTTAATTTTCATTCATTTTTAATTGAATTTTAAGTGAGAGGAAGGAGGGAGGGAGGGAGAGAAAGAGAGAGAGAGAAACATCGGTGTGAGAGCGAAACATCAATCAGTTGCCTCTGGCACACCCCTACTGGGAATTGAGCCCACAACCCAAGCATGTTCCTGACCAGAAATAGAACTGGCAACCTTTTGGTGCACAGGACAACGCCCAACCAACTGAGCCACACCAGCCAGGGCAGTTTCTATTCAATTTTAATAGTCACGTGAAGCTAGTGGCTGCTTCATGTGGTAAGTAGTGCAACACTATTCCCTTCAAACTTGCCTCTTCACCTCTACCTACGCAACCAGCGTCCTGTAGTCAGCACACACATGCCTTGAACACTCTGCCACAGACCAGGAGAAATGCCGGTGACGCAAACAAAATCAAACGAGACCCATTTCTAGAAAACTCACTCATTGTTCAGTGGAAGAGACCCATCTGACTCAAATGACCATAATGAAATGTGACAGGTGACCCAGGGACCCTGCTGCAGAAAGCAGAATGAAGACATTTCACAAAGGACACAGAGAGAGTGACATTCTGCTTAGGTTGGGTTCCCCCAAGAGCAGTGCCTGGGCAAGGATAGGAGAGCCAAGGGTTTATTTGGAAAGTACAAGAAACTCCAGCAGGGAGGGGGGGAAGGAAAAGGAAGAAGCCAGCAAAGGGTACATCACCAAGCTCCTTCCACGGGGGGTGCCTGGAGCTCAAAACTGCTAGAAAACTCGAGAAACAGTGTAGGTCACACCTCAGTTACCCCACTCCAGGGGTAAGGGGGGTGGGGTATTTACTTTGCACCTGAGGGCTGCTCCTGGGGGATGTTGATTTCCCAGCACTCAGGCCCAGGGCCCTTCCTAGTTTGGGGAAAGCTCCCGGGAAGCTGGGTGTTGGAAACATTCAGTTAAGGCTGGAGGGTAAAGCGTCTGCAACATATTCGAACTGGTTTGTGAACCACTTTTTCATGAAGCAAAGGGTGGAAGTGAGGGTGGTGTCCAGGCAGGGGGGTCCATTGGTTGGAAGGCATAGTGGCCCAAAAGGCACTACACAGATGGTGGAACCATCTGACCTTGACAATGGCAGGCGATCATGAACACACCACGGCGTGGACTTCCTGTTCCTCCTCCTTTGTGTTGAGCATCATACTCTGCTATTTAAAAAAAAAATGGCCCTAACCGGTTTGGCTCAGTGGATAGAGCATCGGCCTGAGGACTCAAGGGTCCTGGGTTCGATTTTGGTCAAGGGCATGTACCTTGTTTGCTGGCACATCCCCAGTGGGGAGTGTGCAGGAGGCAGCTGATCGATGTTTCTCTCTCATCGATGTTTCTGACTCTCTATCCCTCTCCCTTCTTCTCTGTAAAAAATCAATGAAATATATTTTTAAAAATGATCCTTTCCCAGTTTGAATTTCTGAGCTTTCTTCAAATTCCAGGACTAAAATTTTAGTCTTGACATCTGAGCAAAGCAGGTTCCTCTCTTTCCTAGCCTGGGGGCCACCAATAACTTTGCTGGGTTTTCTTCTGTTTCTGCCCCTGGGTAAAATCCCAGCACAGGCAGGGCCACCACTCTCTTTCTCTCTGCACCGATCTGATCCAGGGGTGGGTGTAATGTGAGCCACAGGCCACATCCGGCCCCTGCCTGCACCACGAATTCACTGGAATATGGCCACGCTCAACTGTTCACCAATTGGTTAAGTGGCTTTTGCCCATGAGAGTTGAGTCATTATGACAAAGACTGCATGGCCCACACATTTTAAAATATTCACTTTTTTTGTCTTTTGACCCTGACAATCTACCTCCCACAGGGTCTGGGGCTCTGATAGTCACACCTTAACCAGGGAGACCAGGTTGTGGGGGAAAGTCAGGATGTGAGGTCTGTAGACAAGCTGCTTAAATCCCCTGGGTAGTTCTACCTTGACCTTGGGTGCAGTTCAAGGCAAACTAAATAGGGTTAAATTGTGAAATAGAATAATGTTGTGCCAAGGTAGCAAATTGAAAGTTTCCATGGAAGCAGGAGCCCAGAGATCTTGGATGCGCAGAATTTACAAAGGCATTGTAAAAACAGGTGTCCTGACTCTTGAGACCCCTCACCTGTACTGGGGACAAAGAGATTAGACTGATGACAGGGAGATATTTCTTTGTTGAGGGCTGCTGGTGCCACCTACCCTGGATTGTGGGGGGTGGGGAAGGCATGGTGGGTGCTAGTCTCTCAAGCCGAGTAAGAGCAATGCCAATGTCACTGATGATATAGTTGTCATGTAGGCCTGAGACAGGTCACCATGGTTCAGGAAGCATTGTGCATTGGGATCGGACTCTCACCCAGGAAATCAGGGGACAAGAGATTGGCCAGTTGGCTGCTTTGGGGGTGAAGTAGAGAAAAACTGCCACTACTTTAGGATGGATCTACTTTCAGATAGTTAGGGTCACCTACGAGGGTCATGAGAGTTGATTTTGTGGGATTTCCTTTCCATGGACCAGATGAGAGAGTGCTGACTGGAGAATTTCTAATCTTTCCCCAGAAGACTGCTCGGATGGAGCTTGTCTGTGGGACCCCATGAGCAAATGTGTGTACAGGGGACGCCAGACAACAGAAGCTAGTGGGAAGCTGTCAGCCAGGGAAAATGCATTTCTTTAAAATCCCAGAGGTTATGTTAAATATTCCCAGGGATATGTCCAATGACTACAAGGCTGTCTGTGGGAGAAAGAATCAACTCTTAAACACCTGCCCATCCCCAGGGTCACATCATCTTATGCTGGGGCCAGAAACTTTCCTAACCCCAACTTCCCTTCCCATCCCAGTGCCCACCCAGTCGGAGGTCTAGAAACCACACTTAGCAAGCTGGGGGGAGGGGAGGAATGCCAGGGAGGGAGAGATGAAAGAAGGATGGCACCCCCATTTCTCTCTCCTGCAACAGGTTCATCCCTTAGCCAGCTTGGAGCAGGGGTGGAGAGTAAGATATCAATGTCAAATCAATTTTGATATCCATAAGAGTTGATACTCTTCTATTTCTGAATTAAAACTCTGTCCTTCTGTGACCTCAAGTGGTTAGGGGACTTTTAGGATCTAAGTGTGATGACAGAAGTCATGGGACTGCCCAAGTTTTCTCTGGGGTTAGAACTTCACCTTCTAATTCAATTGAAAGGGACATGAGACACAATGATAAAGATTCTTTCTGTTTATACCACATGGGTCCTGTTGGTTCGACATACTGGTGGCGAATTCAAAACCCCAAAATTTCAGCCCTCTCATGTGCACATGGAGCTCACATGAATTTTCAGGACAAGCCTGCAGGGTTTAAAAAGATGTTAGAGACCCAGATCCTGGCTGAGGAATA